TGTGAAAGTGCACTTGTGCATGAAAAGTTTATCCAAAGGAAAAATGCTCAATAGTGGTTGTGAAGAGCCAAAGATTGCCCCCCACCCAACCCCCAGAGCTCCGAGGCGAGCGCCAGGGGACCCAAAGCCCTAGATGCCCAAAGGGACTCTAAGAGCTCCATGGGTTTTTACTATAATTCGGACAAGCTCGGCGGGCCGGATTAAAAAGCCCGTGGGGCGTAGTTTGCCCGTGTCTGATCTAGCCACTCAAAGCAGAAATACATGTCCAGACTAGCACAGTCAGGTCGGCTTGCCACATTTAAAATAACTTCATCCTGTCAGCCGTTTACATGCAAGCTGATTGGATGGTCGATACGCATTAAAACAACCATTACACTTTCTGATCCTGCTGAATCCAACCAAAATCTTCTGGCTTGCATGTTTAAATGACACGTTTTTAGTTCAGTCAGCTGTTTATTTTTATTACTTATCTAAACGTAGCTACTATCTTTTTTCTGTTGTTCTCGTTGTTCTGCAGGCTGACAGCTTTTGTTCTGAGATCTTTCTCCAAAGCTCAGTCTTTCGTCTACATCGACCCAGAAAAACTAGAGCAATCAAGGACTTGGCTGATCAAAAAGCAACGTAGAAACGGCTGCTTTGAGAAGTCAGGAAAGCTCTTCAACAACAGAATGAAGGTAAGTTCAGATAGGATACAGTTTTTGGCAGTCTATAAAAAAACTATAGGGAATAAATTCACAACTTCTCTTAAAAAAGGTAAACATCTTTCAGACAATAAGTGTTAAAAACACCTTTCGGAATGTAACTAAAATTTCCAAGCAAAACATTTATGAATTTAAAAGAACTAATAAACTATAAACAAATTAAAAAAAATTTAAATAACATTTCCACTGAAAAAAAATGAAATTTTTTGTTTAAGTAAATAAAATCCACATATTTTTGCAGTGGGATTTTTTTTTTGAAGGATTATAGCTTATTATTCATAAAAACCCAAAATGAAGTACCTTAGAACATTAAAGATATATATAGATCAATAGAAGAAGGATGTTTAAAACAGAAATGTCAGAGCTCTAAAAAGTTTGTTTTAGTCTACCTCCTTTATAAATTACAGCATCGGTGCAGCTCAGCATGAAGGTGATCAGCCTGTGGCTCTGCTGGGTTGAAATGGAAGTCTTGCTTCGATAGCAGCAACTTCTGGTTTCTCCCATCTTGGTTTTAACAATAGCTTCTATATTCTCGGTGGTGTTCAGTTACACTGAGATCAAAGGACCGTCAAGTTTAGTGGATTTTGTTGTGGACGCAAATGTAATAGAATAATAGAAGAGGCAGAGATTATTACTTGAGACGTTAGGGAAGACTAAACCCAAAGAAAGACAGGCATCCAGCAATGAGTAACTGAACAGGAGGTGTATATATGGGAGAAAGAAACAATGGCAGGAGTGATTAGCTAATAGGGAGCAGATGTAGACAGAAGTAACTAGAAGGAGCAAAGTGAAAGGAAAGGACACAAGGGGGCAGCAAAGTAAAGCCAGGGGAAACGACAGGATCTGAAAGTAACTAGAAAAGAAATTAAATAAGGCTAAAGGGGAATAAAACAAATAACTACCTAATAAGGAATGACCAAGGGAAAAACTAGAGGATAAGAGAAGGAACTGGAGATAACTGAAGCAGTGGAAAATCTAACATAAAGTTAGAGAAAGAATAACTATAACGAAAATTAGACCAAGGAATAAATAACACCAAAAATGTTGAAGAAAAGTAAAAACTTAAAGATAAACAAAAGTTCCGAAACGTACGATCCTAACAGGGAGCAGTTTTTGGGAGCTGTGAGCCAAGCAGAAGGAAGGGAAAAGGGGCTCAAATATATAAATAAATGCATTTCTGCAAATGCACTGGAGCCCAGTGGACCAAAACCAGCAGGTATCATGAAACCCCAGATCCTCCCAGACTTTAGAAACTTAATACTAGACATCTGGAAACTTTCTGTTCCCGTACTTCCTGGTCTCCTTAGCCCAGGGTGTAGGAGCCATCTATGTTTAGAAGCTCTTGAGGTTCTCACCAGCCTCAGTTCCCCTTTTGTCCATCGCCTCGGCTTGCTCTTAATGTCCTCCTGTTTTCAGGGAACCTTCTTCGCTCACGTTTTCCCCTTATTCTTTGCTTTTTTAAATAAATACTTTCAATACGGCGCTGTTGAAAAACCAGCTTTTGAGGCTTAGCTTTCTACGAGGTCAGAGGTCAGCAACCCAAACTGTTCAAAGAGCCATATTGAACCCAAAAAAAATCTTAACTCCCTCTGGAGCCACAAAAATGTAAAAGTCTTTCATAAGCCTCTTATGGCAACACAGGCTCTATGTGTAAGAGGACTACCTGGGCTTAAATATATAATAAGCATCCATGATTAAATGTTTATCCTGGAGCAAATGTCACATCATGTGATTACTCTGCTGTGTCACATTTGTGCTCAGATTATAAATTCCATTACAATA